TTTGTGCCATTATGCACTCAAGATATTATACAAAAAAAAAATTATATTCTCATATTGAGATGATATAACAAATGCCCAGAGACATTAATGCATGCATCAGAATACATAGGATGCACTTCAAATAAAATAGGCTATGCTGAAAAGGCGTAATTTTTTTTAAGAGACAAGTATAATTAATTATAATTTGCAATTATAAATTGTATGAATAATATTATGATATTATATAAAATTTAGAACACAGAAATATGAAATGATAGAATAAAATAGAATGATACTTTTAAAAATGAGACTAAAATGACCAGTAGCCTAGGTGGCTACTAGTAGACTAGTGGTTGAGTCATTCATTCAATCGATTCATTCAAAACAGCCGATTCATTCAGGAACACAGTAAGAAGCTGTTTTTATGAATGGGTCAGTGAATCACTGATTCAATGTGTTCATACGCATTTAAATTCATTCTGTGTGCAGAGACGCACAACATGGCTTTGTTTAGAACCGCTTTCGTGAAATACAGCAATATTTTCTCTACATTTTAAATCTCTTAACATTAACTTCTTGTCAAATTTATGTTACTGATTTTTTTTGCCCTGACACTTATTAAAGTCCACCACAGACCGTGCTAAATGTCAAGTCAAGTCACCTTTATTTATATAGCGCTTTTAACAATATAGATCGTGTCAAAGCAACTTTACAGTATCAAAATAGGAAAATAGTGTGTCAATAATGCAAAAGGACAATAGTAAACACTCAATTTTCATGCTAATCAGTCTGTTCATATAATCTCTCTAAATACGTGTGTGTGTCCTAGAAAGTCTGCACATATAATACCATAATTAAAAATTATATTTATTGCTGTACAGTAACACTAATCTAATTCTAACAGATGGTGATATCAGTATTATGAATTTATAGGCTACAGTAAGTTACAGATACCGGAGGCAGCTGTTTAAGTGCTGGTTTAATAGAAATGATTTTAATGCGCATGAGAACTCAATCTTGATGCGCACAAGCCATGGTAATAGAAATATTGTTCTGTGTGCAAGTGTGCATTCCTCCTCCAGCATCACTTCCCTACATGGCAGCGGGAAAAGAACAGAGAGAGAGAGAGAGACACGGCCTGGTATTTATAGCTCCGAGATCTCCTCGTCAACCTCAAGGAACATTAACGAGCGACATTTCAGAATCCAGCAGCAGTAACACTCATTTACAGCGTCTCAATACTTTCATTTCTGTGTCCCCAATTATTACTGTGCCAAATCATTATGAATCAGCTTTGCAAACATCAAGCCAAGTGTTTGCAATTTATTTCAAGCCAAGTATACTACAAATACATTTTCATATTTATGCACTTAATGAAACGCCCTGCAATTGTAGTTTTGGTATACTAAACTGGTATACTTCAAGTCTGCTAATTTTGTGCTTAATGCACTTTAATTGTTTAATTAAAGATATGCTTAGTATATCTGATTGAGCTAAAGTGGAACTATTGCAAGCACACTTTAAATATTTTGCATTTAAAGACCAATATTATTCAAAGATCATACAATTCTCATCAAAAGTGACACATTTTAGACTTAATATTAAGATATGGGTATTGTGCACAAGTAGTATGCCAATACTTTTTATATCAGTAAGTCTCGAGTTATCTGTCAGTTAATATGTTAATAGATTTTAACTATACTTAGTATGAAATGAATGTATTTTAAATATGATTTTTTTACTAGACATCAGAGTCATTAGATCAGAACGCTTCAGCGAGGCATTGCATACAGAACCATGATGTGTGTTAGTAGAAACAACACAACAGCTGTAGTGCAGTGTTTTTATGTTGTTTTTTTAACTGATTTGAGCCAAAGATGCACTTTTATGGCTTTTGTTAGATTTTATTGCTGGAACATGATCCTGCCCAACAGTTTAGGAGATTTGTACCCCTCTTCAGACCTGCCAGTGTTGTTATTGTCAACTAAAACTTTGAGTGAACGGACCTTCTTTAAAAGAACTAGGGTTGCAAAGGGGTGGAAAATTTCCGGAAACTTTCCAAAAAAAAAAAAAAAATCACTGGAATATTCCAAAAAACCTGGAAAGTTTCCAAAATTTCCGGAACGTTTCCGAAATTTACTGGAAATTTTCCACCTTTTTGCAACCCTAAAAAGGACTTTAAATGTGTTTATGCTTGGCCAACTGCAGAATTGGAGCATGTGAAAGAGTGACGAAACCCTCCTGCATTACTCTCAGCTCTCACAGATCCTGACACACACGCCTGACCCACCCACAGACGCTCTGATTGGTCAGCTGTATCCTCGTCAGAGGGCGTGTCCGTTCCTTCCTCCCCGACCAATCAGAGTCCAGCAGCGCCCAGCATGGGTCCAAAGGGTTGTGGGTCCAAAACGGCCCAGATAAAAGCCTGCAAACGCTGGTGTTTGAGACAAACACACACGAGTGAGTGTGAATGTTTGTCTCTCACACACTCCACCCTCAGCACATGTGCGACCTACGGAAACTAGCTGATGTAGTTTGGATAGAGCACTACTCCTTTCCTCTACACACACAAACTCATTAAACGACTCCGGAGCTCCTCTGTTGCGTTTCATCTCCTCGGCATGAACCGCTTGTGTTGATGTCATTAATGGCATCACATGTGGATCTGACGAGTGTTTGATTTCTTTAATTAAATATTCTGGGTTAAACACTACTGAAGCAGTATCTCACTGTGATGCAGGTCATGATTTTCACTTCACCAAACATTATTTGTAATGTGCCTCCCATCTAATAATCACAAAGAGCTTTGTGCTTTGTTACGCCCGATAGGAAGGCTTTTAAAAATTCAAATAAATGCTGTTTTGATGCACTTAAATGTGCCGTGACGGTTCGCAGCAGCATCTCAGTTCAGCGCTGAGTGCATCAAACACGAATGAAACATAAACATGAAATATAACACGTCATAAACATGAATGAACATTAGAAGGTGCAGTACAGCTCACCGAAATATATCATGTCTCATATAATCACACAATCAGTGTTTCAACCGCGGAAACACAGCAAATAAAAGAGCTTGTGATCAATATGATACTTACATTGCATTGACTTCAGGAAAAGTATATTAAACACTAGAGAGGAGCTGTTAATTAAATATATGTTTGAATAAAAATAAAAAATACCTAATGTGCAATTGAGTTGCATAGAAACATTTCAATGTGTAAGTTTTAGTGTGCTATTATTTCTGAAAATAAATATAGTTTGGGCTATGTTGTTACTTTTATCCTCTAATATTTAGGGCTTCCATATTGATTATTTAGATTTATAAGTACAATACATAACAAATTTTCTCATATTTAAAGCTGCAGTCCGTAACTTTAGCCTCTTTGTCGCCATCTCTGTTTGAAACCTGCAATTGCAGTTATTTGTGCAATTATCTTCTTTACGTGGGTTGTACAGCGGCGCGGCTTGAGCGCGGATTAATCTAATGTTTTGATGAGTATGTGTGGATACTGTACTTCAGAATCACAGATTCTAGCCTACGTCTTGGAATATATGACCCAAATAAACATTTTCACCAGATATTGTCATCTGAATGAGTAACAAGTCTGCCACTTTTGTTCTGACCAACTGAGGAAAAAAACATTACAATAAATCGCGCTACCAACGGTGATTAAATCTAACGATCGGTTAGCTCATATCACATCAAACCGTGCAAATTATTATTATTGTTATACTTTGTTCTCAAATTGTTAATGTTAACAACACCAGCATTGTGTGACTATGTGTATATAGTGTGCAGATCTCAATTTCTGTACAGTCTAATCTCTAATCGTCATACCACTCGAATTTCATATTAAGGAATTTTTAACCCAAAAAGCAAATTATTCTTCCTTCAAACTGGTTCTCTTTAAAATACAAAACTTGTGTAATCCCACTATCTGTAATCAGATGCACATTTAAAACTGGAATATAATTTAATTTCAGTCACGTGTTTCATAAACATCTAATCCTTTCTGGATTGCAATCCGCCAACAAAATGATGGTTATGTACTTGCTCAAATATTGATTTCTGATCATTTTTAACCAAAAAAAATAATAATTTACAGACTGCAGCTTTAAGGTTCAAATGTAACTGATTTGTATACAAACACACTCAATTAAGTTTTTATTGTAAAGTTATAATACTAACTTTACAATTTCATCATTATATTCTTACTCTAATCTGTTTTTTGAAATATAACATTTAAATGGCGTCGGTCATAAAAACTTGACAGATTTATTTATTTTATTTATGCATTTAGCAGACGCTTTTATCCAAAGCGACTTACAGTGCATTCAGGCTATACATTTTTTTACCAGTATGTGTGTTCCCTGGGAATTGAACCCACAACCTTCTGCGCTGCTAACGCAATGCTCTACCACTGAGCCACAGGAACCTGATTTATTCAAACATAAATTAAATATTGAAGAACAGTAAAAAATTAATGAATATGTTTTATGGTGCATA